ACGTATTCAGTACTTAGTGTGATTGGCTTTATGATTGAAGGTTACGCCCTAGAGTCTTTTTTACTGTTTTGTAATTGGTTAGAGTTTTGAAAATGAATAAAGTTGTTTTAGTTGGTCTTGGGGAGCACAGCACGATAGACGTAGTCGAGTCCAGTCCTGGGGCGAGCCTTGAGGCAGTCCAGTCTTGGGCTAGTCTTGGGTCAGCCTTGCGATAGTCTTGGGGATTTTTTCCCTTGGGCGCCGTGTCTTATAGAGTGCTCCACAGACCGACTAAGACGAGAGCTGAAACGTATTTCGCTGTGTGTGTCTTATTTGACTGTAAAGTATAAGTGACTTTCCCGATCCCATACCTCGAGGGGACGAGATATAGAGACGAAACGAGATTCCCCCCTGACACGTGTGGAGACCCCCCCCCCCGAGGAGAAGAATTACCCCCTGATAATATATCCGAAAATTTGTGTTCACTATTCTATAAAATGGCTTGGCAATTTCTTTGCGTTTCCGACGAAAATACGTCGATGCTAAAAATAACCGAATTTCGCCAAATCGTCTATGATTTTTTGATAATAATTAATATTATTAATTCGGTCTAGCGGTTAGATATCTTATTTAATAAAGACGCTCGGGGAACCAAATAATTTGACGATGTAAATAACTTCGGCGACGAAACATCGGCGATAATAGCCAGGGACTGAATTTCAAAAAAACATATTTTATATATAGGATATATAACAATGCACAGAGGTGAGAATCCACTAAACTAAATACGACGGAAGGTATATGGTATAACAAAACACACAGATTTGTCAGGCTATTTTTTTCTTTCAATACGCAGTCACTTTGGAAGTGTCGATACATGAGTTGTCCAGTTCAACTGGTCACCGGTACTAGTTAATAAGCAAAGCTACACGCAATTCTAACAGCCGAAAAACATACATTGGAGAGTGGCGGCGACACCGGGAGGGGTGGTGGGGGCTAAAAAAATGCGCGACCATGGTGAGGGATGCCAGTGGGTGAGCAGATCTCACTCCATGCAATATTTCGTGCCGCCCCCTCAGTTGAAATTCGCCCTTTTACACCGCGTTTCAAAACCCATACGCTAAGAACAACCATGCAGGTAATAAGCTTTTTTACCACAGTCACTTGGGGGCTGAAAATCAATAAATACTAATTTTCAAAAAAAAAATCATCCGCCATACGTATATAAATAAACAAATTGTGAAACACGGCACCTAGTAAATCGACACCCTGTCGGTTTCAAATTTCGATTTCTTACCTTAAAATGCGAAACAACAATTTTAGAGGGGATCAGGTGTTGCGTTAATATAAATAATAACCATTGTTCATAATCGCTAACTTGGTTTTATTCAAAACTGCACAAATCCCACGTTTTCTGATGATATCCGACGATTTCATGAACGAAAATGGTCAGCAGCCAGAATCAAGGGGGATTCGCACAGAGTTCTGGGCAAATCAAGGAAATACTCGCTGTTACGGCAAGCCTGATTGGCTGAAAATGAGTATGCGCACTTTTGAAACCGACAGGGTGTCGATTTACTCGGTGCCGTGTTTCACAACTTGATTATTTATATACGTATAGCGGATGATTTTTTTTGAAAATTAGTATTTATTGATTTTCAGCCCCCAAGTGACTGTGCTTTTTACCTCCATGCATGGACGTACTAACAAGTCCATTGAACAACCATGACGCTGATAGGCGAATTAGTGGCAGAAGGCAATACGTCCACAATTCAAGAACTTCACTGCGCATGTGCAACGACCTCACCCGGCGCTGCTGTTTTGGCGGCAATTTCAAGGTCTGTACTATCTGTTTGACACTCATTTTTATCAATTTTTGCAATTTCAGCAAAATTGTTGTCATATTAAGGCGTACAGCGCAATTTTTTTTGTCTAAAGCTAACCCAACGCCGATCTTTTGGGTACAGGCTGCGCGGATCACTCTCTTCCAGTAATAGTACCCGTTGTCTCTCTTCTATTATAGGGGGTTATGTAATTCCTCCGTGTAGATGAAAACCGGTGACTCCGCCACAATTTCACAAGTTGCCTTTTAAGAGGTAGGTGATCGAGCGCTCTTACATTAGGTTCTTCTTTTGACAACTCGGGTATTCTCTTAGCCCTGAGTACA